TTACTCCCTTTAGAATAATCAGTCTAGCACAATTATGCCAAGATGAGTATACATTAATGAGGCAAACCCTCCAATATTCCTGTGTTCTCTCTTGCCAAAGAGAAGCATTTACCATTTCAGAAGTATCTGACTTAATAGTGCAATATACAACAGATAATTTCTGATCTGATTTAAGATGGCTGACAGGTCATCTGTGGCAATCTTTCTTTACCACAAATTCTTAGAAAGAATAACTTACTCTGAAATACAAGATGTATCCTCACTGAACTAGAAGTCAGGAAAAATCATTAAAACATGAAATATAGATAGGATTGGATTGAAGAAGAAAACCACAGCCAAATGGCATACAGGATAAGGGAGCTACAAAAGGTGAGGCAAACCCGACCAGGCACACCCTCCCAGGATAGAGCAGTTGCCTAGAGGATAATGGGACCCTGGATTAAATAATAATCACAAGATTATTAACTAGAAAAAGATATCTACAAAATAGAAAAATTGGCAAAAGATATGTTGTAGTTCACAAAAAATGTTAATAGCTTTATATACATAAAATATGCTCAGGCTTAGTCATGATATAACTGTCTAATTCATATTTTGACATCTTAAAGCTGAGGAAATGGGAGGCAATTATATTCTAAGGCTGAAGCCCACATAATCGGATTTACTGGCTTTATGAAATAATTCTTAAAGATCTCTCTCTTACTCTCTTTGCCAGGTAAGTGTACAACCTTAAGTCTCCAGCCTACAACTTGAGAGCCCTCACCAAAGCCCAATTATGCCAGACTCTGGTCTCCAGCCTGAGGTGAAATAGAAGTGATATCCCATTGTCTTTGTTGAATTCTGTTGGTCAGAAGTAAGTCATTAGTCTCACAGTGCTCTGAGTTTTTGTGGATGCTGCACACCACATGATATGCAGCACAAGGGTCTGATTTTACATATAATGGAAAGTCACTGGAATGTGTAATTAGTAGCAAGATGGCAATATTTGGATTTTACCCTCTTACTAATTCAGAATGAAAAATGAGGCCCAGAGAAGTGACTTTCCAAAACCACACTGCTGGTCCCAGGTCTGAGTTGTATTCCATGCTACCTCCCACCCATTCTTGTAATTCACCTCTAAATTTGTGCATTATCTTCATGTGACACTATGCCATGAGTTTTGTCTCATTTGTACCTGATGCATTTTCTAGAAGATGCTGGTATAATCCCCATTGCGTAGGTTAGGAGGCTGGGTAGGCACCAAAATACACAATGACTTCTAGGTTCACAGAACTGGTTAGAAAAAAGTAGTTCTGATCCAGCTATGTCACGACAAACCTGGGGCCCTGACTGCGTCCAGTCTCTGTAGGGGACTGAGAGGCTGTGCTTGCATAAGTGTGTACAGGCAAGGAGTTGACGTGGTGGGGAGCATGAGAAATCAGTATCCCAGTAGGGCCTTTGGGTAGGTCTTATGGAAGGAAGGGGTCCTGGGGATAGAACCCTGAAGTGACCTTACTTTCTCAGTGACAGACCCCAAGATAACTTAGAACCCTGGTAACCAGGCACCTACATTCTAGAGACAGCCCCAGTAGTCAACTCACTCAGTAGGAAATGCTCAAGAGAGCAAGATGTTCTTTTGCTATATCCTGACTTTCCAAGGCTCTTGATTTAGTAAGGCCTGACGTGAGAACGCTTTTCAACAATGCAGGAATTGGCTTAACTCTCACCACTGATGTCTCTGGCCATTTGGCAGAGGGCATGCAAAGGTAACAAAGGGCATCTCAGGAGAGGCCCATGCAGGTGAGGCCTCACCTGTGATCCTATTAAATAAGACTCACATGTCTTTCTGACACCATGTGTTGGGGAAAGCAAGTGCTGAGGAGGCTATTTCTGGACAGGAGCAGATCATCAAGTGTTGGAAGCCTTAGTGAGTTGGTCAGGTTCATACCCCAGGGCATGACAGGACGGGGAGGTGAGTGTTGAAAAACAATTTTGTCTTCTTGGATGTGAACCCCAAGACTTCAAACCGTGATCTGGTTTCCTCCCTGGCTGAAGGTCTATGGGAATTCTCTTTTATGCCTGATATAGGGATAATTACTTTTGTTTTTTATATAGGGTCTCACTTTTGTCTTGTAGGCTGAAGTGCAGCTGTGTAATCATGGCTCAATGAAGCCTCAACCTTTGGAGAACTTTTAATGGAAGTGTTCCCCTGTGATGACAACCAGGCAACCACTGATGCCCCCTGGTCTAGCTGCAAGGCACTCTCTTTGCAGAGCTCCATGCAGGAGATCAATAAAAAGCTGTTTGATGGGTCCAACTACTCCATCTCTTTGGATGAAGGGCAGGTATACCATGCCACCAACCATATCTAGCTCTGGGCTTGGGTGGGAGTGGGCACAGAGAGGTCTTTGCAGACAGGGATCAGAAGAGACAAAAGTGGGCCCAGGACCAAGACCCAAATATGTAGGCACCCTGGGATCTGTCCTAGGGCTTTCCCACTAGGGTAACTCACCATTCTTTCCCAAAGGAGTCTGGCTTTCATGAATCCTAAATGGCAAATTGTTAGGCACAAATCCCTGTTCACATACTTATAGGAATATCAGAGAAGACATTTTTCTGTTGCTTTTACTTCACACTAGGCCATGAGTATCTTTGCATGTTGCTGTTTTTATTAAATAACTGCACCCAGGTATCTCTTATAGCAGGCAGCTCCACTGCCCTGCCAGACCTTCTCTATACCTTACACACCAGTACTTTTATGAGGGAAGTGTTTACAAAAGGGGAGCTGGGGGTTAACCCAAAAAGGTTAAGGTATCCTATGCATTTCTCTGCAATGTGTCATCTCAGAGAACTCATGCCTACAGTCCCATCAGGGCAGGAGCTCTGCCCTTACATGTCTTGATATCATGTCTTTATGTTATTTCATAATCAAAGCTGTTTCACACAGTGGCTCAGCCTTTCAATGCTGGTGGAACCTGGCATGAAGAAATTTTATTTCCACTTCAGTCGTGCTGCAGGAAACATTTTGTATGTGTCCTAACAGACTGTAACGGTTTGCTACACTGTCATAACACAGCATCACAAACTCAAGGCTTTAATAACAGATTTTTTTTCTCACAATTCTGGAGGCTAGGAGTCTCACGTCAAGCTTTGGCTGGGGTGTTTTTTTCTGAGGCCATTTTCCTAGACTTGTAGATGGCTGTCTTCCATTGCTGTGTTCACAGGATCTTCTGTTTCTGTACCTTTACCATCACTTCTTACAAAGACCCCAGTCATATTGGATTAGGGCTCACTCCAATAAACTCACTTAACCTTAATTACCTCTATAAAAATCATATGTCCAAATATACTCCCATTCTGAGTCACTGGCTATTAAAACATGTGAACACATACATTTTTGGAAGAAAATGCAATTCAGCCCATAATATATAGTAATCACCTGCAGAAAGGGGTAACCTGGTGGAAGAATATGCATGGGTAAAACTTTAATAGGTATAGCCAGATTACTTTCCAAAAGGGCTGTGGCAAGTATAATGTCCCCAGCTGTCTCTCAATATCGCTGGTTCCCTACATCCAGCCTCCCTTGAATGTTAAGACTTAATTTTTTGCCAATCTGGTGTCTGTGTGACAAAGAAATTCATGTAATTCCTTGCATTTCCAGTTGTTTAACAGATAAGTTTGAGTCACCTTTTAGTTATTTAATATTTATTTGGGGTTTCTCTTCCCTGCGTCATCTGCTTCCATTATTGGCCCTGCAGTTTCCCAGCCTTTTTCTCTTTGCCAGGTGAGAAACTGCTGTAGCTGTTTCTTAAGACTCCCCTTAAAGAAAACAAGTATATGCGTTAGGTCAAAAGGGTTATTGTAAATCGTCTTGCTCTATGTATTCTTTCCAAACAAAGAAAAAAATAAAACTTCTCCAAGGCTCTTTTCCTCCACATGACAGCAAACAGAACTTCGGGTAGCTTACAAGAAAATTCATACCACTCTCACTCTGCACGTTCTCAATTCTGAACCACATGCTTTGAGTAGCCATTTGATGTGCAAAAGCCTGTGTTTTCTCATCTCTACAATGAGTATGTTTTTCAGGATTCACAGTAGTCTCTTAATACAGGCTATTAATACAGATGTGTGCTGTTGCTCCACAGCTGACAAATACCATAAAAATGTCTTGAAAGTATTAATGTTTGAATCAATCCCCAACCTCCACATCCAGTTTTACTTTGGAAGCCTAGAACCTTCTCCATAAATACTCATGCCCTCCACATGCACTGACGTACTGGAATTTCCTGGTCTGAATTTAAATCCCCAAAACACCTGAGGCTCATGCTGCTATTACTGACTGTAGTTCCCTCCTTGTCCCCTGCGTAGTATAAAAATGAGTCTAAGCTGAATCTAGAGTAAATCTGCATGATGTGGACCACCAGGCTAGGGAGAAGGGAAATGTTGGTGGAGTTCCTGACTTCAGCTTTGCAGGCTGGGACCATCTTTTCCTTCACCATTTTCCTAGGCTCCTAACCAGGACTTCACCACAGCACCATAGTTCCTGAAGTAGCTGTTCAGAAGCTCAATGTTTGTCCCTTCCAAGACACACTGATGACTGCCACCTATTGGCTGTGTCTTGGAGATGTCCCCAATGTTCCTGCAGCTCTCTGAGCTGAACTTTTCTTTTCTGAAAATGGGCGAAAAGAAGATAAACCTCATAGGGTTCTTGTAGGGACTAATGTCTTGAGACATGGAAAGCAGGTCAACCATGCCTGGCTCCATAAAAAGGCTTCTGCACATGCTGTGGCTGTTCATATTTATTATTTTTTTCTGAATTTTACTGAAACTCTCTGTAACATGCCCCAATGACTCATGTCCCTTATTGTTGGGAAAACCATATCAAAAGCAAGTCCATTTTTGCATTTGTAAATGCGGTTTGACATTTCTTTTGCCTAGTCTTTGTTCTTGACATAGGCAAAACAGGGGTCCCCTGCTGGTAAAAAAAAAAAAAAAAAAAAGGTCCCACGTTTAATAAAATATCTGAGACGGTTCTGGTTGAGATTTATTTAGTCAATACACACACACATTAAGCATCTAATCTGAACAGTCACATTTCCAGACACTTGGCATTATTCAATGAACAAAGCAGTTGAGAGTTTCTGGGCCTCAATTTCATTTGGGGAGTCAGAAACTCACAGTAGACATTATCAGCAGTAGACATTATATGTCACGAGAATGTAACATATGATGCCTTCGTGTCCTCCTCTAGGTATAGATGCATCCTCCTAGATTCTGACAAAGATGAAGGATCTCAAAACCAATTATAACTTTTAAGTGAATGCAGAAAAAGAATTTTAGAAAATTCAACATTACTTTATGACAAAATCTCAAAAGAAATTACATATAGAACATACATACCTCAAGCCAATAAAGGCCATATATGACAAATGGATATCTGACATCATGATAAACCTTCAAAAGTTGTAAGCTTTTTTTTAAAGAGGCAAAGACAGTAGATCGATAGTAAGGCAAAGATACCTAATTTCATCACTCTTATTTAACATGCTACTGAATTTCCAAGTCAGAGCAATTAGAGAACAAAACCAAAGTTAGCCAAATTGGAAAGAAAGAAAATAATTATCCCTGTTTGCAGATATCATAGTCTTATGAATAGAAAACTTTAAAAACACTTAGAATAAATTCACTAAAGTTGCAGGATACAAAATCAAGATATAAGAGTGAGTAGCATTTCTATATACTAACAACAAACTATCTGAAAAAGAAATAAAGAAAACAATTGACACCTGTAATAGTTACAAAAAGTTTACTTCCCAATAAAATTATTAAAAAATGTTAAAGATCTCTATATTAAAAGCTAAAGAAAATTGAGGTATAAAATTAAACACAAATAAATGAAAAGTTATCCCTTATAATTGGCCAAATTAATATTGCTAAAAAGTCTATGTTACACAAAATGGTGTATATATTTAACATAATGTCTATAAAATATCAATAGATTTTTTCACAAAAACAAAAAAACCTAAAATTCATATAGTAGAGCAAAAGATTCTGAAAGCTGGAAGCATTGTACTACTTGACAGTTGAATATACTGAAAGCTACAGCAACTAAAACAGTCCAATACTGGCATTAAAAACAGATAAATAGACCAATGGAGCAGAACACAGAAAGATGAATACCTCACAGTCTCACTCATGTGGAATCTAAACAAGTTGATCTCATTAGAGACTAGGAAGAAGGTTAAGAGATGCTGAAGTTTTAGGAGAAAGGGGCTTAGAGAATTATCTGTTAAATGATAAACAATGCCTGTTAAGCTAGGAGGAATTAGTTCAAGAGACCTATTGTAGTGCAGAGTGACTACAGTTATTGAGAATATATTGTATTTTTTTTTAAAGTGCCAAGACAGTGTTGAGCATTCTCACAATAAAAATAACCATTGAGGTAAAGCGTTTTTAATTAGCTAGAATCAAGCATTTCAAACATCATGTGTTATATGTATATATGTAATTATGTGTATATATATGTAATTATAATTACATATATACATATATAATTTTATATATACATAGATCATTATGTATATATGTATATATATAATTTTGCCAATTTAAAAATAATTTTTAAACACATCATGGAGCAAAAACAATGCTCCAAATACCAAGTCTGCATCTTTTTAAACTTAGCTGAACTATATAGAAAATACAGTTTTTATGATTTTTAAAAATGTCCACTTATCAGCCATAAGCATAGAAACTCTAATATTCACCAGCATGTTCTAGAACCAGCACAGAACATGGGAGTCACCAATGAACTCGATGGCTTTCACTTTAAGTTTGGGACACCTGGAGTTTCTGGTGCTGATGCTAATCATATGGATGACATTAAAGAAGCAGGTGGTGCTAACAGTCCCATCTCTGGCCATGGTGTGAACACAGAAATCAGGTTTGCATTCAAAATCACCAAGGAAATACTTCAATCCAAAAGCTCTCTAGATCTCTGAGTTTTTTAATACAGAAAATGACTAAGGAATTGGCGAGTTATGTGATTATTTATATAAACTCTGCAATGTAAGCTGCACCCATTTAAATAAAACATACTGTGATATGAGTAAGAAACTTCCCAAGATTCCAGTATCAATGGGGAAGAAAAGATTATTCCAAATTTTAAATCCACAGAAGCATTAAAAAATTTAAATTAAATTCAAAAAATTAAATGTAAATGTAAACATAAATGTAAATGTTTATTATTGTCTAATATATTACATAAACACTAAAAACTAAAAAATTCTACATGTACACATAAAGTGTGCTATATGTAATTTATAAAAAACTAAATTTAAACTTTTTTGCTTGCCATTAAGTGTCCTTAAGATTTCTAAGATATATTTTTGCTTAAGGGGTTTCCATATTCTGATGTTTCTTTATATAGTGATTATGATATACAGCCTACCATTATTAATGCTTTACCTATTCTAACTGATTTCATGGTGGTAGAATCTAATAACATTTCTTTCATACAAACATTACTAACTCACTAATTTAATCCTATAAACTGTGTAGAGTACATCCCAATTATGCCAATTAAATTATTCAAATGGTGCATTTATAACTTAAAAATGTCCTCAAACTCTCCAGTTAAATCCAATTTTTCACTATATTAAAAATTTCAAATTTCTTATCACATCCTACAAAATACTGTATGAAATTACATGGGCTGCAGAGAACAGTGAGAAATCTGTAGCCATAATAAGCAAAGAAGGGAAAGGGCTATGACTGACACATAGATGGGGGTGAAAATAAAATAATAGTGAAGTACTGGAGATAACTATGAAATAAACACAATTCCTCTTAATTTCAGAGGCAGTTGTACACCCTGGGTATACATGTGTTTTCTTTACATGCAGAGTTAATGCCATCTCTTCATGCTGAATATTTCTAATCTCTTACTTGTAGCCAAAAAGTGACTTCAACAAGAGTATTTGCTGCTAATTATAGAGCATCTATTATACCCCCAGGAAACCTAGCACGTTCCTGTGTTTGTTCACCTCATTTATATGTCAAAACAACTTTGTGAATTATGAAGCCTTCCCAGTGCACATCTAAACAAATTGGCTCGAAAAAGTAAATAAATTCAATTATGTAAAATATTAAAATGGAAACAAAAACCAAGTAAAAATTGTCTGAAATAAGGTTCTCCAATTGAAATACAAAAATAGAATGTACTCATTAAATAAACTGTAGCAACACACACATTGTAGAATTACATCTTAAAATTATCTTGTGAACATTAATAAATTTTATGAAGGTTATTCTTGGAATTTCTCAGGAATATAGAGAAAATTTCATGAACTTTGGAATGAGAAAACTATATATTCGGTTTAGGATGGTCAACAGACAAGAAAAAAACAGGATCTGCATGAGAAGATTCTGAGCCAGGAGCCATAAGATTTTTCAGAAGTAAATTCAATACAAAGCAGAGAATAAATATTTACTTTCAGAATCTTTGAGATTCCTAGTTTGCTAGTAAATTACCAATACTTTTTAAATTACGTTTTGTTCCAATATTTTTGTTTTACTCTCAAAAAAGTACACACCTATACTCAAACACAATTACACGCTCCATAATTCTCTTAAAGTTAACACTTATGTTTAGAGTGATAGACTTATAAAATTAACTCCACGTTAATGAAAACTAAATGTATGTATGTGTTTTTACAGGCCAGAGAAGTCACAGGCTCAAAGAAAAATGTAGTATGACATTTTGTAAATAGTCATTCAGGATTCAAAATACATGGCTTTTCATTATACTCCTTTATAATTATCATCATAGTGGGCAATTATAATGGTTATACTGAAGATTATATAAGAGTATCATTGTCCAATATTTACAAAAGAAAAAAATTAAAATATAACCTATGGTATGTTAATCCATTTTGTGCTGCTAGAAGGGGATACTTAACACTGGCAAATTAAAAAGAGGTTTATTAGCCTCAGTTCTGTTGGCTATACAAACATGACATCAGCATCTGCTTAACTTCTGATGAGGCCGCAGGGAGCTTTTACTCATGATAAAAGGCAAAGGAGTATCATGGCAAAAGACAAAGCAAGAGGAATATCAGCTTTTTTTTTTTTTTTTTTCTTTTTTTTAACAACCAGCTTTCACACGAACTGACAGAGGACTCACTAACTGCAGTGGAAAGAACATCAATCTATTCTGAGGAATCTACACCCATGACCTAAACACCTTCCACTAGACCCCGCCTTCACCATGGGGAAACATATTTCAACATGAGGTAAGGTACAAAAAACCCAAAGCATATCATATAAAAAAAATTTCCCAAGTTGTTTGAAATTAAAAGCCACTGGGAAAAGAGACTACTAGAGGTATCCTTTCACTGTTACCCAGTAGTGTATTGTTACTATCTGTTACCTACAACTTTGGGTAAAGTGGTATAGGTTAATTATTGTGGCAAGATGTACTTCATTCAATGTAAAATATTCTTAACACATTAAAAATCATTTTGTTTTATTAAAAGAAACTGCATTCTAAAAATAACATTTCAAAAGCTACTATATTTTATTACCTTAATGTGCAACTCATAAAACAATTTACTACTAAAATTCAAAATGTTTCTCTATTACTATAATGCAAAATACTTCTCTGAATACCTAATGTGTTACTTAAAACACTGTTATACATCAACAAAAAGCATTTCTACTTATATTTTCCTTATAAATGTTACATTTCAGCACCCTTAATCACTCATGAAAAAGCATATAAATGATGGTCATCTAATATAGAAGAACTTCTCATAGCTCTTACGCAGCAACAAATGACCACATGCTTTAACGTAAACAATAAATATAACAATCTCAAGTTATTTGAGATTTGAATTACGTCAATATTAAAACATATAATAAAAATAACAAACTTTTAATATGAAAAAGTATAACATGAATGTAACTACTTGAAAAAGACATCATCTCTTGATTCATTAAAAATTTTTTTACCATTCTGTTACAGTTTATTATTAACTTATTTTCATTACATGTAAGCCAAAAATAGTTTCCAATATTTAGAGAAAATTTACTCCTAATTAATTTATATTTTTGACTTTAGAAAAAA